CATATTATCTTCTCTATTAGACTATAAGATCTGTGAAGACAGAAGCTATTTTGTTTCCAATTGTACCCAGTTCCTAGGTACTTGCTGAATACTTGTTGGGTGAATGAGTTAATATTGAGTGCTTACTACCATGAGTGTTATATCACCATCACCACCAAAACAACCATCTTTGCTATCACCAACATGATTACCAGCACCACTACCACCACCCCTACTTTCACCACAATCACCTCTCCATCATCATCACCACCACCACATAACACATCACACCCACCAAAATCACCACTACCTCCTTCATACCTCATTTGGTACCTAATTCTTTTGGGAACCTCTTTCCAAGGAGACAGTGCCTCTGGCTACTTAGCATCCTCTGACTTACCCTTTCTTCACTTATTCCCTTTTTCCAAAACTTACTTGCTCTTGGGGACATGTTCTTTTTTTAGGAGACATCTACTCACTGTGATACAATAATTGTGTTCCTAGCATTAATGTGTTGGTAACAGCCCTCCGAAGCAATATGGTCTAAGAGCAACGATGATATCTAGTTCCAGCTCAGCCACTAACGTGCTGGGTGACCTTGTGTGAATCACATCATTCCAAGAGCTGCTTCCTCACTGAGAAGACCCCTGAGAGCCTTCCAGATCCCATGCACTAGTTTGATGCAGGTCTTCTATTGACCAACAGGAGGGAACCTGCACCGAGGTGGGGCATTCAGGTTTCCTGGTGACTAAGCAGGTAGTGCCTTCAGTAACTGAGGTGCCACTGCAGCAGCTGCATCTCCCTGGGGATCCTGCTGCACCAGATCCAATCAGTCATGGGGCAGAAGCAGGCCCAGGCAGGTAACTACTCAGCAGTAATGACAGGTTATTGTCACTGTCATCCTCTCTCCTCAGGGCTATAATGTTCTTTGTTCAACACATAATGGCACTTTTGTTTTGATAGTCTGGGAGCTCAAAGTCTATATCTGGTTGCTTCATAGCAATTGAGGGCTAGCAATGGAATGCTGTATTAATGCCATGTGAATGGAAAAAGTTTCAGATGGCATGGAGCATCCTTCTTAAAGATTCCTAGTGTATTTCCTGACAATTTTCTTAAAGGGGACTGTCACGTTAGAAATGAGGTGGAAAGAAAACAGCAATCAAGGGATGTAATTTAAGGGAGGAAGTGTAACTTCAGGCAAGTTTCTTTTTTCCTCTTTTTTTCTTTTCTCTCTTAAATGAATTTATAGTGTAGCATTGGTAAAATATGCCACTCAGTATTTAGAAGAGCCTAAATAAAAGTCCCTTTTGAGAGGTTAGATCATCCCAGGCCCAGTCCCCAGACAATAGGATTATAGGGTTGGGGACATTCTTTCTCTTGGGAAAGTCCCATAGTGTTAGGCTGGCCAGATTGCTATCAACCTTTTCTACTTTAAAAGCTAAATAACAGCAATCCAAAATAACAAGAGGAGATACTGAATGTATAAAAGAAAAAATAGAAGGAAGGAGAGCATTATAGTGAAAAATAAGAAGATAATTTTGCTAACAATGGGAATTACAAATATGGTTGAAGTACAAAGTTTCATTTTAAAGAGGAAAAAGGAGCCACATAGAACCTGAGCGAAGGTCCCATCTCCTGACTTGGGTCCAGGCCCCTCCCCTGTGATGTTGCCTCCACTTTCTCCTCAGCAGAGAATGAAAAGCAGCAGGTTTTGAAGAGAGCATTCCTCTATGAAGGCCAAGAAGAGAGTGCTATTTTCAGTCCACAGATTGGGGAAGCTGAGCTATGAAGAAATTTAGGGCTCTGGTCCTCTCTAAGGGTGATTTTACCCCCAAAGGACAGTTGGAAGTATGAAGATATTTTTGGATGTCACAACTGGTGTATATGTTTGGGAGAGGAGGTGAGAAGACAGAGATGCTGTTGAACATCTTCCATGCAGATGGTTTCAGTGTCTCCCCTCCCCTACACACAACAAACAGTTCTCCAAGGTCATATATACTGGATCATAAAGATTTTTATCTGGGGTGTGCACTTAAAAGCAAAGGTCATATTTTTGTCATTAGAAAGTTTGCACAATGTGGGTCATTATCTGTGTTCTTTTGGCATCACACACAGCCCATCTCTGGCAAACTCCTTGCCAGTCTTCAGTGCTAGACTTGGCCATGACCACAGAAAGCCAGTTTGTACTTGGGTCTCCAATTGTGTGCTCCTGTGTCATGTCCCACTTGGCTCCACTCCACTTTCTTCAGGTACCCAGGCATGGGTGGGCTACTTATTCCCACTCCCTTCAGCAGCAGATGTTCTCAGGAAAGTTCTGCCTGCCCTGCCTTTCACCTTAGCATGAACTGAAGTCAATGGGTTACGTCTTTGGGAAGATTTGTACATTTTGTGCATCTCTGTCCTAGTATGCACATTCTGTGAGAGGAATTTCCAGGTTGAGAGGCAACTGAGAGCAGGCCCTGCTCCTGAGGCTGAGTCCATCCCTGGAGAACATTTCGCCTATCTACCTGTGACTCTTGATGCTGGCTAAACTCTCCCAGCTCCAAACATGTTCTCTGGACACTCCAAATACATCTTTTCCCGTGTTTTTAAATTTGCTTATAAAGTGATTTATTCTACTTTTTAGAACACACATTTGGCATGTTACAATGTACATAAATGTGTTAAAAAGCTAATAAGTAATTGGTTTTTTATAATATTTATTATTTATTTTTTTCTTCTCTTTTTTATTATTCATATTTTTCCCATTTTTAAGGCAAAATTTTCATTAAAAAGTTTGAAGGTTTTTTTTTTCTTTGTTATTTGTTTAGCTGTACTCAGAAATTTCATGATATATTTCCAGGACTTTTAAACAGGAGAGAAACTGTCTGAGTAATTAGAAAACAGTTGTTACTTTTTTTCTAAGTGTTTTTGGATGTTCTATATTTTACTCATAAAAATCACTATAATTAAGTGGGTGTTGGGAAGATTCACAGAGCTATTCTATGGGTTAAAGGAGGTAATAGAGGTGAAAGGGTTTTGTAAACCATCAGTCTTTCTGTATATGTTAACAACACAGTGGTGGAACTTGAGATATTGCTCAAAATTGCCCAGGAAAAGACCCCTTCCCTTCAACAGCCAAGGTCACTTCCAAAAACCAAACCAAACCATTCCCCAGACAGATTCTCTCTGTCTAGTTCCAAATCTTGTAATTGGGATATACATTTTCAAGATGAGAACCTCATAGGCTTTTTATAATTAATAAAAATTCAAGGCAATTTGCATTAACATTTCGTGTTTAATTCAATACTTCACAGCTTCCACTTGGCCAGATGCCCCTAGAGTCAGCACTAAGATAGCTGCTCCCTCTTGCACTGGTTGAGCAATGATTTCTGGGTTTATAAAAATACTCACAATGTGTGAGTAAACTCAGGCTGAGGAGCAACCTTTTTAGAATGTTTATGAGGGAATTAATTTATACTTAATTACTCCTAGCTATTGCTTCCCTTTTCACCATAAACTTGTCCTGGTAATTTCCAAGAAGAAAGAAAAAAAGGAAATCTCTTTGAAGTAAGAAGTGTGATGAGTGACTGCCTGTCTAATAGTTGTCATAATAGGTTATTAAAAAGAGATTCCAAAGTCTTTAGAACCCAGTGACTAACAACGGAAATAAAACTGCCTTTCTTTATTTGGGTGCTGGGAAGTGAACCCTAAGCCTCATGAATATTAAGCACGTGCTCTACTACTGAGCTATTACCTCCAGCCCCAAACTGCCTTTAGCTGTTAGTTTCTACTTCCACTTGGTGAAACTGGAGTTTGAACTCAGGGCCTTGAGTCAGGCAGGTGCTCTACCACTGGAACCATGTCCCCAGCCATTTTTACTTTAGTTTGTTTTTTTGATAGGATTTGACACCTTTGCCTGGGTGAGAGTCAGACCAAGCTCCTCCTACCTCTACCTCTTGGTAGGTGGGATTACAGGTGTGTGCAACCATGCCTGGCTCTACCTTCACTTTTTAAGCTCTACTATCTCTTCAATTTACATTTAGCTTAATTCTTAATAAAATAAAAAACCTTAACAGCTCCAGAAATTACATGATGTATCATTCTCAGGCTAATATTTGTATGTTAACAATATTATGTTTAATGCAAAAGATAAATAAGACCTAACACAAAAGATGGAATTCTTCCTGGGAGAATATTTCAGAAAACTTAAGTTTTCTAAACTTTGTATGAAATACAGTCTAGTATAACATTTCTCTTTTCAGGAACAGTCTGCTCCTGAACAGGTGTGATATACTTTTCTTCACCAAGGGCCAACTATGTGCTGGGTGTATCAGTGTGGTAGGACTACACCAGATCCACTTCCTACCTTTGACCCTAACCTTCCCATTCACAGGCTTTCTGTCTCCTCTTTTCTGTGCCACTGTGGGATCTCTGCATGCTTGAAGATATCTTAGGCTCTCCTACAGAGAGTAGCATGACAGCTGGGACACGCCCAGATCTGGAGTTAGCAGACCTGTTTATAGCAGAGGCTGTTTTCTTCATTGTAAAAAAGTGGCATGAGTGATGCCTGCCCTACTTATCTCATGGGATTACTGAGAAGAATGAATACCCACTTCAAAAGTGACAAAGCCCTGTACTGCCATATCATTGCGAGGGGAGCTGGGATTTTATAGAAGCATTTATTCTTAACTCTTATCATAGCATAAACATGGAGAAAAACTGTCTTGCACATCTTCATGTTCCTTGATAGATTGATCCTTTGATTATAGTCATTGACATTTTTGTCATGGTCACTTCTTAGTCCCTAGGCAAGAAATTCTTAAGAATAACCATTCAATGGTATCATGCAAACATACCTCATTGAGATAAAGACTGTTTTATAGTACCAAGAACTATGCTGGGTGACATAAGCCAAAATCTTCCAAATAAAAGTTTATTAAGTGTAAGTACCGATTTCAACAGCTCTTCATGAACTGATAATCAATAGTGAGGCAAGTGGAGTGTGTGCTAGGTTTTAATCCTCAGTGGCTCTTGCTTACCATGGCAGATCCAACACGGCTGACCTTGATGGGATTCCCTCTGCCAGAAAGGTCCATTTTTGCTTTGTCCATTACGTACAAGCAAGCATCAAGGATGCCATCTTCAAACTACTCGGGAGGGAAAGACAAGAAGTACTTACTCTCTACTCTGTAAACAAAAATATGCCCTGCAGAAAAATAAAATGAAACCACAACCTAATATTTAGAAATGTGTATTTCTTACATAGTGACCAACCATAATTTTCAGTATGAACTATAAAAGGGGAAGAAAGGAGACATCCTTTTCCTCTTTCAGTGAAGTGAAGAACATAGAAGGAAGCCATAAAAGCAAACAGGACTACTAGAAAGCAGAAGTACTCTAGGATCATGAACTGACGAAGTTCTTTGAAGAACTGTACAAGTTGATTCAGAAGATCTGTCTGACATACAGACTCTAGTGCCTAAGGTGAAGGAATGAATGATTTACCAAAGCCACTTTAAAGTCTTGTGACCTCAGAAGTAACTTGAGTTCTTATGTATATGGCTCTCAGATGTGATACAGGAAGGTACTTCAGACCCAGTTACTTGTACACCCAATAGGAGGAGCCCTTGTGGTGAATGCCTTGTAAGAGTCCCCTCTTTTGAGACCAGGTGGATCCTAGGTTTAGAGAAGGTAGGTTGTATTATCTTGGGAAGAACCTGTAGCCACCTTGATTTCCTGAAAAAGAACTGCTGGCTACAGACAATATCATAATTACCTTTAAAAGGAATAAAGAGCAAATAGTAATAAAATGGCAAGATGGGGGAGATTTTATCCATACTGTACTCCATTGTTGGAGATATTTTTATATGCAGAAACCTTGCATATTGTCCACACAAGTACTGTGACACATATCCAAATGTGTGTACGTGTGTATTTGGTGGTATTAGGGTTTGAATTGGGGTTTAAATTTAGGGCCTTGTGTTTGCTAGACAAATGCTACTGCTTGAGCAATGCCTTCAGTCCTTTTTGCTTTTAGTTACCTTTATATAAGGTCTCACACTTTTTGCCTAGGGCTGTCCTCTGACAATCTTCCTACCTATACTTCTGTGTAGTGGGGATTATAGGTGTGAGCACAGCCCCTGGCCATGATATCACAATTTTAATGGCTAATTACCATGTAATTCTTTATTAAATCTAGTTATAATACCAACTCTGAGTGTGCCCCAACCTGGTGGGATAGGTGCAGAAATCTGTAATTCAAACATATAGATAACTAGTTTTCCAGATACATAGTAAGTCACTATTCAGGTTCTCATTAAGTAACGTATCTCAGCTGCTTGTGGAACATGATAGCAGCTAACCATAGAGGTAAAGGAATCAACATAGAATTCACTATTTATCTACATAACTGCAAATACCTGGCTTGGCTTGTTTTGTCAGAAGGACCTGAATCAATGGACTCTTTAAATGATGGTATATACAGGTCCTGGGCTCAAGACATCTACTGAAAGGCGTGCTGGCCAAGTGTAACCTGACTGTGCCTGGCACACCTTTCTAATTCTCTTTGCTACCTTCTTGTACAACTTTTGCCTCATTGGCTATCTGTAGAATGTCAAATTGGGGCCATAAGTAGAACCACATCTGATGTGTAGATGTGATATATTCCCCAAAGTTCCATATGCTAGAAAGTTGCCCTCCAGGGTGGAGATATTGACGTAGTGGAACTATCAAGAGGTAAGGCCTAATGAGAGATAACTAGATTGAAGGGGCACTTCCCTGGTAAGTGATTAGTGCTTGTTTTAGGGAGTGGGTTAGTTCTCCCAAGAGCAGCTTGTTATGAATCAAGGCCACCCTTTCTGCTTTGCCCTGTCAGCACATGGCCTGTTTCCTCACTATGTTGTAACACAGCCAAAAGGGCCCTTGCTAGAGGTTGAACAAATGGATCTGCCCAACGTGGGACTCTCAGATTCCAAAACCATAACCTATATAAATCCCTTTCATTTATAAAGTATTCAACCCCACATATTCTTTATAGCAATAGAATACAGACCAAGATAGCAGCTAAAGACTAGGAAATGGGAACCCAAGGTAAGGCTGTCAGGTAATAAGTATTAGTCAAAGGTAATGGGTCACTGAGGAAGAAGAGGGCATATAACAAGGAGACCCAGAAAAAATCTAAAAACAAGACTGGGTGCAGTGGTTCAAACCTGCGATCCTAGCTACTTAGGAGGTGAAGATCAGTAAGATCGGGGCTTGTGGCCAGCCTGGACTAAAGATTTATGAGACCTCCATCTCAACCAACGACTGGAAAAGGTGGCATGCATCTGTCACCACAGCTACAGTGAGAAGCACAAATAGGAGGATCATAGTCCAGGCCAGCCCTGACATAAAGTGAGACCCTATCTTGAAAATAACCAAAGCAAAAAGGACTGGGGGTTGGATCAAGGGGCAGAACACCTGCCTAGCAAACACAAAGCCTTGAGTTCAAACACTAGTACCTTAACCCAAAGAAAAAAACAGAATCTGAAAACAGGGCAAGTGAAAATAGCACATAAACACAGGTGAGCAAGACTGGGCACAGCAGGTTTTCTCGGGAGTCAGAGTGATGAAACCGACCACAATGCTGGGCAGGGCGATAAGAACTTGTGATGATGTGGGTGCTGGTGGTCCAGCTGGAGCCATGGGTGAGGGACCCAGGGAGACCTTGTATGGGAGTCAAAACAAGGCATCATGTGACTTGGTGTGGCCAGATTCTGTGAACTTTCTCCCATGGACACCCAACTTCAGTTCTCTCTGAAAAATGGCATTCATTTCCTCTATGTTGCTAGGGAAAAATCATTTTTAAATCACAGGATGTACATTTGTTTGTGGCAAAATTTCATTCATTTGCACCGTTATTGAAATAGTTTAAATGACCATCTTAAAGAAATATGATTTGGAGCTGTGTATCTAGACAGTAACTTGAGGTGGCAACTGAGGAAATGGTCTCTATACAAAACTCCACTGGGATTTTCTTTGACCAGATGGTAACACTCTCTTTTAAGTAGTCGTACCCTAGACAGCACTCTTCTTCTTTTACATTTTTTATTATTGTATTTTGTTGTTCTGGGGGTACATTATGACATTTACAGAAGTTCTTATAGTAAATCATAGTTGAATTCATCCCCCCCATAATTTTCCTTTATTCCCCCCTCCCTCCATTCCTGGAATAGTTTCAACAGATCCCTTTTTGCCATTTTTATACATGAACATATATTTCCACCACATTCATCCTCCTACACCCTTTCCTTGTATCCTCTCCTTCCCACTGGTACCAATCCCCCAGACAGGACTCGTTTTACCTTCTGTTCTCCATTTAAATAACACTTTTAAAAAGTTATTCTTTAAGTTGGGCACACACCTTACAATATTCTTTATAACATTATCAAAATATATTTCTTTATAAGAAAAGGAAAATTTCAGTCCATTTCTGGTAGAACTAATGAGATTTCACAGGTCTAAGATGCCAGCCTATTTCTGGGTGACTTTACATTATCCACAGAACTTCTGAACTCTGTAACATTTGGAATAAGAGGAATATATGTGGTTTCAACTGATAAATTATGCAGTTGTCTTTATAAGTCTCTGCTCCTATGCTCTCTGCCTTGGAATCTCAGATCCTGAAAAGCAGGAAACTGCACTTGTCTGATGTCCATACAAGGCACCCTGCGGTACTATGTGTGACAAAAATATTAAGTAAACGTCCTTGCCAATGGTACATTGAGTGTCTCACCTGACCATAGCTCCAGCTTCTACTCTTGATGTCATTGAAGTCTCCATAAAAAATGACGCCGATGTCATTCAGGACATACTCTTGTCTTTCTTTCTCATCATCCAGATACACAGCGTCCTCTGTGTTGGGATTTGAACAAAATGACCATTACCAAGCCAGCCTGTTTTCAAATGCTTACAGGTTTATTTTGTTACTAAACTGAAATTTAATCAACCAAATGGAAAAACAATGTCTTGTGTTTCACAAAGCTTAGCTCATTTCCCAATTTTTTCAGCCATGGTGAACAGAATCGGCACCAAAGATCAGTCTGTAAATGATGACATTTGTCAGCAAAATGGTGACAAACTGGCTCCGAAAGTTCCAAGCTGCACAATTAAGTTGACATGACTCATTAAACATTTTGTGGTCCTGATGCACAGTAGATTCATGATCAAAATTCTATGATGCAGATGCAAATGTGCAAGACCCATCAAAAAATAATTTCTAATCTACTAATGTTAATAGAAAAGGAGCTGAATTGAAAATGATTTTAAAAATAAATCTGGAAACAGTGGCATCATTTGTCATGCCTGCTTTGTGGTCCATCGGGCTCAAGGAGGAGGGAGGCTGTAGGTTGTCTCCTTCTAGTGAAAAATCCTTATGGATGTGTTGGTAGGTGTGTGTGCCCACCAACTTCCCTGGTTAGCTTTGTTGTTGCAAAGTTTTTTTTTTTTTTTCTGGTGGCTTTTATCTTAGGAAGGACTCACTCTTCACCTACTTATCTAGTTACCTGTCTGGTATTTATTCCAAGGCTCAGTGTGAGAACAGCAAAGCATCTTCAACACAATTCCACACAGGTATAGATTGCATTCAGATAAATTTACATGCCTGGAGCAGGATTGATCTTGAACAGGGCTTGGTTTACTATATTTATTTAGCCCAGGTCATTGACCATCCCTATTACCTTTGGGGGTTTTGTTCTCCTTATTTTCTGACCCATTTTATTACTCTCTCTCAAGTAGTTTTTCCCAACCTTGGCTACACATTAGAATCTATTAGAGATATTTAAAAATTCCTGACTCAGCTGGTTGAGTTGCTCACATCTGTAATCCTAGTTACTTGGGAGGTGGAGACCAGGAGGATTGCAATTTGTGGCCAGCCCTGGGGGAAACAGTTCACAAGACTCCATCTAAACCAATTTTTTAAAAGCATGGCATTATGCATCTGTTATCCCAACTAGGTAGGAAGTGTACATAAGAGGATCACAGTCCAGGATGACATCAGCATAAATGTGAGACACTATTCAAAAAATAACAATCAAAAAAGGGCTGGAGGTGTGGGTCAAGTGGTAGAGCACCTGCCTAGCAAGCAGGTGCTTGAGTTCAAACCCCAGTACTGCACCCCTGCCCAATTTCCCAATTCCCCCATGTTATGGATTGCGACTTAAATGTCTCCCTCCAATGGTCCATATGCTAAAGGCATTCCCAGCCTGTGGGAGGTGGTGGAACCATCAAGAGGTAGAATTTAGTAGGAGAAAATAAGGTTATTGGGAACATACCCTTGAAGAAGATACTGGGTCCACAGTCCTTTTCTCTCTCTCTGCTTCCCAGTTCCCATGAAGTAAATAGGTTTCCTATGCCATATGTTCTGCCGTGACATATTGCCTTGTCACAGGCCCAAAAACAATAGTCATGTGGCTGTGGACTGAGACCTTCAGTCAAAATAAACCTTCCCTTCCTTTAAATTGTTTTGTCTTAGTTGTTTTCTCATTGCAACCGAGGGCTAGTATAGCCAGGCTGACATCTGGGTCAGTTGAGTCAGAATCTCTAGGGTGGGATGAGATCCAAACATCAGAATTTTGTTTTATTTTAGTTTCCTAGCGATTCTCATACACAACTGAAGTTGAAATGGATGTTGTAGCCCCTCACTCCACAAAGAGACCCGAAAGACAGCAGAGCCAGTATCGCCTGGGGGCTTGTGAGAATCACAGAGCCTTGAGGACCTTCTCAGTCTTGCTGACTCACATCTGCATGGTAACAAGATCCCTGGGGCAGTTGTGAGCACAGTAAGACTAAAGAGTTCTGCTCAGTCTGACCAGCTTTGTGGGTTTCATTGAATCCTTGGGTAATTCCCTGGTTTTGTCTGGTCTTCTGCACTTTGTTGTACCTTTCTCTTCTGTTCTCTGCCTCTTGCCTACCATTTGCCTAGATTCGTGCCAACACACACACACTCTCTCTCTCTCTCTCTCTCTTAAAATATACAGTCAGCCTTTCACATCCTTGGGTTTCAAATCTGAAGATTCAACTATTCATAAATTGAGAATATTTGGAAAAAATTGCATCTGTAATTTTTTGTTCTAATTTTCTAAAAATTACAGAGCAGAAATGATTTACATAGCATTTATATTGTATTAATCATTATAAGTAATCTAGAAATGATTTAAAGCACACAGGAGGACATACACAAGTTCAAGTACTACACCAATTATATAAGGGATTTGAGCATCTGTAGGTTTTGTTGTCCTGCAGAGGATACCAAACCTGGAAACCAATGTCCTGTGGATATGAAGGATGACTGTATATTTCAAAGTTCAATAAACTGCACACATTTAAAGTGCACAATTTCACGATTTTCAAGATAATAAACATATCTGTCACCCTAAAAGTTCTCTGTCACCTCTGTGATTCTCTCTTCCCCAACCTGTCACCCCATCTCCACTCCAGGGAACCATTAGTGGTCCTCTGTCACTGTAAACTGTCTAGAGTTTTATATAAATAGAATCACACATATGCTTTTTTGGAGGTCTGTCTTCTTTCACCTAGGATCCACTATATGAAACTAATCCATTGTCTATCAATGGTTTGTTCCTCCCAAAACCATTTCATCCTTCCAGAGTTACACAACAAATATGCCCCAGTTTCCCGTTGGCCCTGGAAGGTGTGAATTACGCTGCCTTTTACCTGCCGGCCTGGCTGAGTTCAGGAGGCAGCATTGCCATTAGTACTAATCTCTGTACAGTTTGGCAACACATACTGAGGACACTTAACCACAACTCGAGCATCATTCCCAAGCGGGACTAACCAGAGGCGACACATGCAGAGCTGACAGCTGAGTTCGAGATTGAGGTCAATATTTCTAAGTAAATGCATGAAAAACACTTTTATTTTAAGGGAACATAACACAAGAATGCATGTGAAGGGCTTTAAACATTTATATTCACATAGTTGCCTACCAGATGCTAGCAAACATCTAGAAAATGAAAGTCTACTTGTGTATTTTGTGGGGTTTTATTCTTTTACAATAGTAGTTCAACTCTTCTGACTATTGCAGAAGTAACCATCTTATCAGATGGGTTTAAAATACTTGTTGTGGAGATAGAATCTCTTCTTCAGACCTGTGATGTCTGGCATTGTCATTTTGTGATGCTTCTGAAGTACGATGCTATAATATTTCCCTTTAATGGAAGATGTGCATGGATATCTCCTATAAGAAATTAGAGTACACAATAAAGTGCAGTAATGTGAACAATTGGTATAAAATAGGTTAATGGATCAGAATAGGTAGCCCAGAAATAGGTATAATTGCATGCCTGTGCTGTTCTCTGACTAATGTACATAAAGGAGATATCAATGAGAAGGATGAGCTACTTCATTAAGTTTTTTTAACTCAGTTTTTTTGCTTGCTAGGCAGATGCTCTACCACTTGGTCAGCCTTTCTTCATTAAATTCAGTTGGGAAAATGACTGTTAGGGATGAGTACATTTTATATATCTCAAAATAAACTGAAAATTAATTTAAAATCTGAATTTTAGAAAAATGAAAGTGTAGGAAACTTACAGTAAAATAAAATAAAGGTGAGTATTTACTTGATCTCTAGGTAAGAAATTTTTATTTATTTATTTATTTATTCATATGTACATACAATGTTTGGGTCATTTCTCCCCTCTCCCCCGACTCCCTCCCTTACCACCCTCCCTCTCCCTCCACTCCCTCACCACCCTCCCTCTCCCCCCACTCCCTCAATACCCGGCAGAAACTATTTTGCCCTTATCTCTAACTTTGTTGAAGAGAGAGTATAAGCAATAATAGGAAGGAACAAGGGTTTTTGCTAGTTGAGATAAGGATAGCTATACAGGGAGTTGACTCGCATTGATTTCCTGTACATGTGTGTTACCTTATAAGTTAATTCTTCTTGATCTAACTTTTTCTCTAGTTCCTGGTCCCCTTCTCCTATTGGTCTCAGTTGCTTTTAAGGTATCTGCTTTAGTTTCTCTGCATTGAGGGCAACAAATGCTATGTAGTTTTTTTAGGTGTGTTACCTATCTTCATATCTCTCTTGAAGAAATTTTTATTCAAACAAAAGTAATAGAAGAAAGTCACTAAGGCAATGCTAATGCATGTTATTTAATGTAAGTGTGAAATCTGAATTTCAGATACAATGCAATGTAAAGCATAGGATTAATTGGGGAGATATTTTCAGCAATAGTTTCAATTTACTTACAAATGTTGGCAGATGTTCCCTGTATGTAAAGCATTCCAACAAATTGAAAAGGAAACCATAGTGTGTGAAAGGTCAGCAAAGGAAAACCAGTTCATGGAATTGGAAAAGTAAATGGAAAATAAATATACAAAAACAACTTTTACTGATCCAAGAACTGCAAAATAATGTAAATAATGAAATTCGTATTTTACCTAGAGGTATATGTATTTTTATGACATTATTATGTTGAATATGCTTTGAACAACTAGTCCCCAGCTGGTGGTGCTTTCTTGACAGGTTCTGAAAACTTTAGGAGGTAGGACTTAGTTGGAGGAAGTAGATCATTGGGGCGGAGGTCCTTGGGGGATATCTTGTGCCTGGCCCCTTCCAGGTCTGCCTCTGCTTCCTTGGCCACCATGATGTGAAGTGCTCTGTTCTGCCACATGTTTCTGCCACCATGCTGTCTCTGTCCCACTATGGACCCAGAAACAATGGAGCCAGTTGTGATAGACTGAGCCCTCTGAAAGTATAAGCCAAAGGAAATCTTTCCTCTTGTGCCCTTGCCATTCTTAGGTATTTGGATGCAACAACACAAAAGCCTGACCAACACAAATATGTACTTTTAAATGAGCTTAAAGTTATAATACTCAATACAGCTAAC